CTGGAGACCATGCTGCTTGGTGGAGACCTGGTATCCTGCCGGCCTGGGTGATACCCAGCCTGGGCCGGGCTTGTGTAGAAGCATGTGTTAGACATGCCAAGGGATATGTGTTGGTGAAGGGCAACTTGGCAGCAAGCTGGAGATATGTGTACACAGCTGGGGCCAAGAGTCAGTGAAATTTAGATTATGACTGTTCCCAGCTAGATTGTTTTGGGCCGGGAAATTATCTCGGCACTTTTAATTAGGATGCTTGGGTCTTATGGGAACACTGCTATCGATTTCTACTTAATTTAGCAGAGGTTATGGAAGGTCGTAACTCTACATTTTTGGACTTCAGAAGTAAAATTCAAAGGACCAACATGACTGATCGTTCTCTTATCTAAGACCTCCCCTTAGGGGCCTGGGCCAAAGTAGACCCAGTGTCTATGTGGGAATGAAAACCAGGTCATGTTTGTCTCCCGGGAGTTATAGTGCTGCTTCAGATTATGTCACCTTGACAAAGAAGGTCAGCTGAGGGTTGGCAGATGTCCTGCAGGTCAAGTGCGGTGGGTCAGTGAGGACTAGATGGAGGGGGCTGTCCTTAGGAAGGGTGAGGAGAGAGGAGTAGGATGAAAGCGATTTGGTTCTGAGTAAGGGGACACTGAGTCATTTAGCGGTTGCTGTTGTTCAACTGCTTGGGGCGGGAAGAGCAGGCTTGTTATTTTTCAGGTTCCTCTTAAGTCCAGTGACAGAAGCAACACAGCTAGAAAGTGGGAGCCCCCTGGTTGCTCAGGTGAAGCAGACTACCTTGAGTTTGGGGAGTTTTGAGAGAGAACATTAAAAAGTTCAAGTCAATTGGCCATTGACTAGGCACAGCCTCCTTAGCAGGGAGACCAAGTCTAATTCTGCCTTCTCCTCTTGCCTGCTGAGGGCTTCCGATCTCAAATTCGTTCTCCACACCCAGCCAGCCTGTGTGTGACTAAAATGTAGATGTGCGCCTGTCACCTCTGCTTAAAGACCATTAAGTGGATTTTAAATCCACTCCCCTCAATAGCTTTCCAGGCCCTTCATGACCTGCTTCCTTCCAGATGTCATCTTCTTCCTTCCTCCCCATTCTTCCTGTACTTGGTGCGTCAGCCATTTTGATCCATTCTGAGTTCCTTGAATACACCATCTGTTCTCTCCCTCTGCCTGATGCACCGTGATCCACCTGGGACACGGTAACATCATACAATATATCATGAAGGATGGACAAGGCTGCTTTAAGACCAGTGGTGATCAGAGTGCCCTGGGCCTCCAGCTCACGTCTTAACCCATGGGAGGTATACCGGTTGAACAGCTCTGATCTAATCAAGCAATAGCCTGCAGAGAACCTTCTAACCATTAACCAACCTTAGATAAGTTTGGAAAATAGAGGACAAAGGTTCCCAAGGGAATAACCCTATTATGATCATTCATCTATCCAAGGAAAGGTCAAGTGACATAGGGCATGGAAGGCAAAACCTGGAGCCACTTACCCAGCCACAGCCCGGCCATCCCACAGAGATAGCCCCACGGCAGAGCTGCAAATGAGGACCAGTGTTCCACCTTGGTGAAATACAGGACGACCGGGGTGAAAGAGATGAAGATTAAATTGAAGAAACCCAACGTGGAGACAAAGTGTGCCGCTTCACCAAAGTTGGCACTTCCGAGAAACATCTTAAACAAAACCTGGATTGGGAGAGAAACCCCTTAGCCACACAGTTAGAGACTTTGCCAGAGCAGAAAGACAAGTTCTATACAGTGAGCTAACCAGCCCAGAGTTTACCCTCTATTTCTCCTTATCCCACCACCGCCATGGCACAAAATGGACTGTGAATAAGTGATTAAAATGCCCTGCAGTCTTCACATGAAACAGCAAATGCCATAAAATGAACTCCTCATGCTGTTGGAAACTGCTGCAAGTCCTGTACTCTGTTAGCACCGCCCTCAGTTACGGGTATAGGGTGAATGGCAAATAAGAGTGCACACGAGCCCAGGAGAATCTAGGATTGAGATGCCATCAATTCTTCCCTTCAGGCATGGGATGCATTTTACCCTTATTTCGACAGATACTGAAAACTAAATTAGAGAGAGCCTGTCATTATGTTGTTGAGAGAATAATAATGGTGCCTTGGATTTATAAGCACTTTCCTCTCTGAGCTTAAAACACGTGCACAAATACTGTGTTTATTCTCCAGATTAAAACTATTTTTTTTTTCTGGATATAAATCTGTGTACAGGGGAAGAAGATAGCAAGGAGATGTCAATGGCTACCATCAAGTTACGTTGGGCTGAGGAGGGGCCGGGCCTCTAGTCCATACTTCCTGACTTTATAACCCTTCTGCTTCCTATGTGAATCCTCAAACAATGTCGAATGGAGCAGATCTTTCCGATGGTGCCCATATGGTTTTATGCATGTCAGCATATATTACCGCTCCCAGAACGAACACCCCTGTAGCATGGTCAGGAGAATTGTCTCCGTGAGATAGCCATCCCAGTGACACCGCAATTCCAGGCATGCTTTTAATGTCAACTGGACTTATTATTTTTGCTTATGAGAGACTTCAGAGGACTTGACCACGTGCTGTTCTTTGGTCACATCAGACACCTCAGTGGGGTCTCAGTTGGGGGCAAGTTAGACGCCAATGGCAATTGAGTGAAAACTTGTCAAGCTTGTCACAGAATCAGTGGGCCAGGAAATGTCAATATGGAAATAGACTCCGTGTCTTCAGAGCCGCGGTGTTGGCGAATAATCAAAACAGGCATCCAGGAGGGATGCAAAGGGCGTTTTCTGCTTTTCACAGAGAATCTTCTCATTGAAACACCAAGAGAGGTGAAAGTGGAACAGTGCTTTAGCTACAACCCGAAAGCAGGCTCTGACAAGTGGAGCTTTGGGGATAACCTTTTAGATCTGCTCTCTCAGTCCTTGCTTCTGAAGTCAGGGGCAATGACTGAATAGATTTTCCACGGATGGCAGGCGGCTCCAGTGGAGAACGAGTGGTAAGTACATAATGCAGACCAGGAGTATCCATCAGAGAGGAAAGGACGTCCTTCATTTCGCTAATAACCGCAGTTCCTGTGGCTTGGGGTTAATACATGGCAGTCGACTCTCAAGTGACAGCTTGTTTGTTCTCTTTAACACCTCATTGGAGTTAAAATAAGGACAGTGGTAGTTAAAGTAAAGAAATTTAAGAGCAGAATGGTCTTTCTCAGCCCCTGCTGCAACCAGTTGATTTCTGAGGGGCAGAGGCAGGCAGCATGGGCTTTGGAGGTGGCCAGTGGGAATTTAAATCTTGCTATCACTTTCCATCTGTGTGGCCTTGGGCAAGTTATTTAATCTTTTTTTTATTATTATTTATTTATTTTTATTTTTTATTTTTTTAAACTTACATCCAAATTAGTCAGCATATAGTGCAACAATGATTTCAGGAGTACTCCTGAAATCAAGTTATTTAATCTTTCAAACCTCAGTTTCCTCATCTGGAAAGTGGGGATAAGTACCTGTGCCTCATAAGGGTGAGTTAACACAGGTGAAAATTTCTGGCAAGTACTCAGTAAATGGTACTTATTCTTATTTATTATTATTATTATTGTTTTTACTTATTTTTATTTAAACCACTTCCCCCCCCCCACAGCCAAGATTTTCTTTGTCCTGCCTTCTTTTATGACTTAAGTCTAAGCTATGACTACACAAAAAAGTGCACGACATACCTTGTATAATGCAGACGTAGAGGCTGAACCCACTGCAAAGGCCACTCCTATGATCGAATCAGTGTGGAAATTATCTGCATATGCCATCATGACGATGCCGGTAATGGCCATTATTGCGGCAACTATCTGTCAAATAGAATGCAAAGGAATTAAAAAAAATTGATGCCTCCATATCTCAGAGCAAGCCATTGAAGACTTCATGAGAGTTGCTAAATGCTTCCTCAAACCCAATTACCTCTTGTACGTCGCTGTTTCAATGCGAGAAGGGTCAGTATTAACAAGAAATCAGTATGCTCCTGAGATATCCAGGCAGAGAATATAAAAGCTGCTCCCATTCTAATTAAGGGTTAGTAATTTTAGTGTAATTTTTTCGCTCAACTTCCCAGAGATTAATATCCGTGTTGGCGAAATGAATTTCACAGGAAATCACTCCAGAGCATTTTCGTCTATACTGTATGCTTTTTCTTCAAAACAATTCAGCATACATTTTAATCAGCTCCTTGGATCAATGCATGGTTTTGAAGATCGACACATAACCAGGACTTGATTAGGGAGACCTAACATTGATGCAGCTAAGAGGCAAAATTTAAGCCACGGGGCGGGGAGCGGGGGGAAAGGAAAACAAATCATCTCTTATAGTGATTTACAAGGAGTGGGCAGAGTTTTCACTGGTACTTGGAATGTCAAAGGGAGACTAGTTCTTCCTTCTTTTTACGTGCGAATTAAACCACAAATAAGATAATTTCATCTCATTACTCTAGATCATTAACCGCACAAATTTGATTGAAATCATAATGGTACGATATTTCGATAGGATGCTTGAAATATTCAAAACAGGAGTCCACTCCCTTAGTGAAATGCTGATTTACATCTGTTTCTTAAATGATCTTGAACTGATTCTGCTGGAAAACATTTCAAAGCTATAGTAAACAGTAAAATAACAGGCCCTGGAATAGGAAACAATACGTCATTTCCTTGTGAAATAGTCTCACTTTTAAATCAAGATGCAACTTTGCGAGAAATTTATAGGTTACGTGGCAGTTAATTTTGTTAGGTTTCAGTTCTGAGTATTCCCAAGTAAATCAATTCCTCCGTAGATAGCTTTTCCACGTATGTGGGGGTTTTTTGGCCCTTCTGAATATTAGTGAATTATTTATTGCAACAAAATGTAGATCTTCAACATGTAACCATAGACTTGCTCCAGGCCAGCGCCGAGTATGGTGGCGATGACACGTTATCGTTTAGATGCTGCTAAAGCAATTCTTTTGTTAATGACCATGAAAAGCAAGTGAACTGTCGGTTTCAGACCTAGCTTCATACTAAAGCATCTTTTATGAAAAACAGCAGGAGTACTTGAGAACAGACGCTGACATGTCAGCAGTGAAAAACCGTCTTCATAAAGCGTTTTTCCGGGAGGCTGCTTGATGGGAGACGTTTCTCTTGCTGAGTGAATATCGTATTCTCTAAAGCTCCCAGGCATGTGTTCTAGTTAGACCATGCCTCAAACTAGAGGGAATAGAATCTAATACACACACCATGAGATGTCAAGGAAATTTTCCAAACAAGAAGTAATAGACTCATAAATAAACATGGTGTAGGGGTTATCTAGACTTAGAAATTGTGTGAGGGTTATCATTTTCTTTGATTTGGGGATTTATAGTTCAGCCAAGGACTTGCAACAATCCTTTGGGCAGTCTGATTTCAGACAAATGAAAAGTCATGTTAGACGCTGGCGTTTTGTTTTTGTTTGTGTGTTTAAATAATATTCATGGGTCGAAGTCTTCAGGTGCACAAGTAGATTTCCCTCATAAGACTGAATTTGCAGGACAATAAATTTGAATTGGTATTTGTTTTCTTTCAGCCAAGCATCAGTTGTGTTTTCTTGTTCACATCAAGATGGGATTAATAGAATACAGTGTTAATTGCAATTAACTTTAACTTTGTCACTTTAACTGTAACTGTAACTTTAACATGATGTACTGTTTCATATTTAAAATTATCAAAATTATTGTATAATCCATAATATTTGGGTTTAGGCAACTGTGCATAATATATAATTCTGAGTTTAGGGAATTATGAAAACAAACAGCCTATACAAAATAAAATAAAACACGAAAACACTGTCTGGAAAGTGATGAACATTTAACACTAATCACCCCCCGGCTATGACTTCAGTTAGGAGCACTTCCTTTTCTGAGTCAGCCTTTAGTAAAAATATATATGCTTAGTATGTCTACTATAAGTATTCCCAAGATAGAAATTGGGTATGGAGAAAGATGATAAATTTTATAGCAATTCAAAATTATAACTATGATGAGCCTCTTAAAGGTCTCCATTACATTTTATATTCAAGTGCTTGTGGAAATATTAGCCAGACCACTTAAATTGACATTATCAATTACACCAGTGTTTCTTTCAATTGCTTTCATGGAGAGAAGCATTTTTCATGTTGCAGGGCTGGACAATGTGGTTAGTTACGTTCTACAAGCATGAAAATCTGAATATTTGAGATGTTAGAAAAATTCTTTTCTATGGTATGAACAGTAATTGATAGGTTATATAGGTTTGCTGTGGGGGGGAGAAGATAAGCTAAATTATTTTCCACATTTTTTTACTTAAATCTCACAGCTAATAGAACATTTTCTGTGGCTGCGTTTTAAGAAATGTTCAATGTGCTTCTTATCTACAGAGTTGGAACTAAAGGACGAGAGCTCAGCTAATCTAGGAAATGCAGGAAAATGCTGGATGGAAGGCTCAGTGGAGTGGTCATGCGGATGCTCCCACAGTGGCTCTCCTTGGCACCACTGGTTAATTGCAGAATAAATACTATTCAAATTTCCAGAGAACAAACAGCCTCAGCACAGATCTGAGTCTCAGACATCTTCAGAATTCACCAGTTATCAAGGAAGGATGAATAGTCTATTCTTTTGAATAAAAGACATAAAATGACTCTTCTCGAGCTCAGGACACTGGAAATGTGCCTGCAGAAAGCCAGTGCCTTAAATACTGTGTCGGAAATGCGCGTGTGTGCACATCCACATGGTGACAGCCACAAAAATGCCTTTGAGCCCATTAGCATCCGTATGAGGGACGCTTCTGCTGAAAACACACCATTTCATGGCGGCACCTGTTTGGCTTCAGAAAAACGTGGCTCTCCTCACAATCTATTCCAGTTCCAGCCCTCTAGCTAACCAGACTTGTTCTGAGTAAGACAGAAAACGCACCACTGCCACGATCTGAATCTGCTTTGGGTGAGAATGTTAGTAACCATAATGACCATAAAACTGCCAATGCCTCAGTTTCAACTTTGGAAACCTCTCAGTCCCCTCACATCATGGTGTGCCCATCTTGGGTGGGGGGCGGGGAGGGGAGTACCCTGTGGAAAAGAATTCATTTAGTCCATTTTCCCAGCCTACCTCTTCAGGGACATTTCTTCCTGAGCCAGCTACCTTCCTCTGCAGGCTCAGCCCCCAGTGAGAGCCTCCCATCAACTTTGAGGGCTGATCAGAGGGAGACCATGAGGCTGTTTGAGTGTGTTCCTAAAGCCCAAAGATGGCTTTCGAGTAAACATTTGATACTCTCACCGTGGTATATACCACATGCGACCCTGCAGGAAAGCTACGTTTCTGTCATCTTTCAAAGAATTCGTAGATAAATAGCTAGAGATAAAAGCCAGAGAAGCATCTGGCTTTTGACTGTTTTTATTTCCCTGTATCGTCATTTCTTTCCTTTTTCGTCTCGGGCCCTCAAAAACCACAGGCGTCTGGCCCTTCTCTTGATCTCTGTGAGGGTTTACCAGCCTCATTACTTCGCTGTGTTTCTCATTGACAAAATGGCTTCCAGAATTATTATTTGAGTAACAGTATCAGTTCTTCTAGGGTTCAGGGTATTGAGATGAAGCTTGAATTGCTTCTCTTTCTAATTGCAACTGGAATAGCTTTCCTCAAGTTGCCTTGTGGTTAACTCTGTTTCTAAGGCTGGGTGAGCATGGAGGTGTTTCACTGGCTCACGACGCACCCCTGAATCCCGAGACTACAGCAGCCCCTAGAATGGAGGGCCTCAAAACGACACTGCTGGCAGGATTGTTCTCAAGTTCAAGACTAAAGGTCGGCAGCTCAAGGTGGGTTACACGTTAATAGCTTGGCCAGTGAGACCTGCACTGATGATCATCCTTGTCCTCTCTGAGTACATTTTCTTTCTTTCTATCTTTTAAAAAAATGTTTCTTTTTTACTTATTTTTGAGAGAGAATGTGTGAATGCAGGGAAGGGGCAGAAAGAGGAGAGCACAGAGGATCCAAAGCAGGCTCTGTGCTGAGAGCAGAGAGCCTGATGAGGGGCTTCCCAAACTGCGAGATCATGACATGAGTCGAAGTTGGATGCTTAACCCACGGAGCCACCCAGGCTCCCCAATAGAGTCCATTTTCAAGGAACTGGGACTATGCAGAATCCTTCAACTTGTCCGCATGCTACATTTAAGGTTCCATGAAGGTGAACCATCTGTTTTACTCAGATCCCGTGAAATTGGACAAGAGTTGAAGTGTGAGAAATGAAAGAGGTGGGCAGTATATAGCTGTACAGATTGTGTGTGTGTGTGTGTGTGTGTGTGTGTGTGTGTGCGCGTGAGTGAGGGTGGAGGGTGCCTGGGGACAGGTCCAACCCAAGGAGTTCAGATCCCCAAACCAAGACTCCCACGCTCCACCCCCCTACACACACATCTATTTTTATATGAATAAAATCTGTCTGAAAATGATCTCAAAGGGAGACCAGGATGGAAAAGAGGGAAAGAAATGCCAGATGGAAAGACCTAACAGGCACATGTGGAGACTAGAGTAGATCTGTTGATGACATCTTGTTAAGGGGTTATGGATTCCTTGTGTGCATAAAATTGGAGAGCCATTCCACCTCATCTTTTTCCTCTGTATTCACAAATTCTTCTCCCGCCAGGAGGGGGATGAAAAGGATGAGCCCAGCTACGCAGCCTCTGGTGCCTCCTCCAGGAAGCATGAAGGTTCTGGGTAGAAGATTCTGCACTGCACATGAATGTACAGCTACTGCATCAATGTCAACCAAAGGCAAGATGTAAACAAAAGGTTATCTTGAATCTTATCTAAATATGTAATATTGGC